TAAGGCCGCTCGCAAACACGGCCACTTGTGGTCGCCACTAGTGGCGGCCACCAAGTGGCCGTGTTTGCGAGCGGCCTTTGGGTTCAGCGCAAACACAGCGTTGGCAGTGGCTCGATCGGGCCACACGTTGTGGCAGAAGTCGTACCTCGCTGCTTGTAGCCGACGACAGCCACTCGTCTTTCGGCGCACACGCGGCCACACCAAGCGGCCACAGTCTATCGCCACGTTTCTGTTCGACGGGTACGTATTCTGAATTATGAGCACAGAAATGGAGGACAGTATAGACGTAGATGTGTTTATATCCGAAACTGACTAGAGACGATACTGGATAGAAAATTCATGAAAAGTGGCGGCCACTGGTTAAAAAATTAGAAGCGCGTGGCGGCCACCTGTAGCGAATACTAGTGGTTGCTTCTAGCCACTTGGTGGCCGCCACTAGTGGCGACCACAAGTGGCCGTGTTTGCGAGCGGCCTAAAAACCAACTCTAGCTGTTTGAGTTCCCGAGATACATAATTTCGAAAGAAGCAAATGTTTTTTGAAAATCTACTGTAACTTTTAAGTTTTTGAATTCAGTAACTTTTATTATAATAACTATATTAATCAAAGATAAATCTTTCCTGATATTCACTGTAAATTCTGAAAAAATATCAATGAATTTAGTAAAAAATTGCATTGATATAAAGTTGAGGATATAATTCTTTGTAGTTTTATCCAACAAGCTCTTGTCATAAAAATGCCGATCTCTTTTCTAAAGTAGGTAACCCTTTCAAGAAGTCTATATTTGATGTTTTAAAAAATTGTCCAAGTGTGACTTGTACGTATACAAATTAAAACCAGTGCCATTATAAGTCAGTGAAATGGTAAAATATATAATATACGATTGTTGTCTTACTAAAACTGTTGTAGATTTAATAAAAAAAAATAATGTTAATCTGAAAATGGATGGAGTAAATAATTTTGAGTGGAATTTTATATATTATTATTATGTTATCATGTTTATTTCATTTTTCAAGGATACTTACTGATATGATAGGGAACCACAAAAAACTATAAATATTCTTAAACGATTTGATAGTTGCGGTGCCTTCTTTATATCAAAGTTGTCGATTTGCAGATTTTGGAAAAGGCAGCAAATTTAAAGAAAAATAAAGTTATTATTCAAATAAATGTAAATTAATTGTTAGTTTGTTAATAGATTGTATTTTTTTTATTATGGAAGCATGATGTAAAAAATATATTTTTATTTTTTGTTTTTCAGACATCCACTTTTATAAAACAGACTCATATCGCAACTCAGAACACCACATAGAATTAAAATCATTAGAAAATGAAAACGAGCACGTACTTCAAAAAAGAGAAATCTCCGAATTGGAAATCAATCCTACTTCACTGAATGTGACGGCAGTACAAAATGGTACAACCGAAGAGCCTTCTATACCACCCCCTAAAAAGGTAATTGATTAAAAACTAACATGTCCATCAAAATCAAATGCTTGTTTTATGTATAATATTATTGCTAAGGGTAGAATTTTTCATTGACATTTCAAATGCGTAACTAGCTCTAATTATGTATGATATCTTTTGGACCATGAACCTGTCGTCGTTTGTTTTTTAGATACTAGATAATTTTTTAAAATAAAATTTTGGCCATAGTAACCTTTTATGACGTAACTTTTTTGACGTTAGGTTTTTTTAGGTGTGTCGTTCAATGTCATTAAAAAATATATGCATTTCGTTCTAATACTTACAAACACATTTTTTAAACAAGCAAAATGTGCTAAGGTAAATTGATCTAAACCCGTATATTTCCGTCCAAGGATACTAACCTTGATGTAAGACCCATTCGTTTTAGGACACCCTATGTATTAAAAAGTAGAAGTTGATTCAGTTTGATACAGTTGGTTGCGTTTTTCAAAAAAAAAACGAGTATATTTTTGACTAAAATGAAATTTTTCGTTATAATACATGACATACTCTGTAAAAAACCTATTTTCAAAAAAGTTGTGTCATAAAATGTCACTGGGTGTTAAACAAATAACACTGATATATTTAGCATCCTCAAAAACTTATCTGTACCAAATTTTAATTCATTACATTGTTTTTGGGAAAATATGTATGACTAAAATTTGATTCTAAAGAACTATCTTTAACGTCCTGTATCTCAAAAACAAACGATGATAGGCTCTTGGACCATAGGATAAATTTAACTTATTTTTTGATGTTGATCACTTCATGGATTTATGCTACCTTTTTCAAAATACCCTGTGTCTATTCTAGAAAGATTGTTAAAGTAAGTACTCGTACAATGCAGTTAAGATACCCTAAATTAAATAGTAAAATGTCTCTGATACACCAATTTATGGTTATTACTTTGAAATATAAAATTAATTTAATAAAATAATTGCTTTTGAGATAATAAATTTCAGTAATATTTTTCATTAATCATGTTGTCTATTTTGCAGTATAAAAAACTATAAAATAAGAACTTCTAGAAAACTGTAGGAAAGAAGCCATAAAGTGCTAATAAAATTTTAATATTTACATTTTATAACACAGAGATTTATCGTTTTCCTAATCTATTACCAAATTGCAAACGATCAAAACTAAACTAAACCAACTAAAATGGTAAAGTTCTTAGTACATAAAAAAAAATTACGAGGAATATACAGGGTTGTTTTAATGCCTATATGCTGTAATGACACGATGAAAACCATTTAATTATAAAGTCCTGGGTGAAAATTTATGGGTATAAGAGTGATCTTTGAATTTATATTAAAACGTATTTTGGCTATAGCTTGTGCCATTTGTGGAAATTGATTTTAATTTATTCAAGCATGAATTTCAAAATGCCTGTATGGAATTGAGAAAATTTACATTTTCTGTGGCTCCTTAGAAATCTTCATCTGTATTTTTTTACTATTTCTTTCACTACAGTGAGCATACATGAATTGGTGAAGAAACCAAGCATTTGATTTTTTTCATCATATTTTCCTCAACTTTTAAATCTACAATGTAATTTTGATAACATCTTGTTAATCAGCTTTTTAATGTTGCATATATTTTAACAATAAAGCTACTAAAAGCGAAATTTATTGTTATTTCAATAGTCGAGAAAATGTTACGAAAGCATGATTTTTGTTACTGTGTTGCCAAACAGTAGAAAAATATACAGGGATATCTTTTTTGATGATACAAGTGAATAAAGGTCTTCCTGTTAGAATATGATTTTTTTAATTTTGTAAAATCACAGTAGGAAGTCCTGATGCTATTATTATAAAAGGGATGTAGATACCAAAAAGACTACATCCAATTATGCTCATTTAAATTTAGTGTTAAACTGATTAAAAGAATGTGTTGGCAGAATTTTATTGTTAAAATTGAGAAAAATTTTTTAAATAAATTATCAAATGCATGATTTTTGTCATGTACACATCCTCGATATGATATATGAAATAATTGAAAAAATAACTCCCACAAATGGTTCATAAGCTATAATCAGAATAAATTTTAGTGAAAATTCAAAAATCATGTATGTCCTCTAATTTTGAACCAGGACTTTTTTTAGTGATCACTCTGTATATTGTTTCACATTGCCATTACAGTACGTACAGGTCATATATGGTGTGAGAGACTTCAAATCATTCTGTGGTTGATTTTTGAGTATAAGAGTTATATATAGCATTTGTGTTTGTATCGTAAACATACAAATGATCTCATTGATATTAAGAATGAGTTGACATAAATTTTCATCTGGGTGCTATTAATACCAGCAAATTTAATGAAGTTGCTTCACTTTAATACATAATTAATATATTAGAGTCTAACATACAGAAATTCTCATTGTTTTCCTAGAAAATATTTAAAATTATTAGTGATGTAACGCAGTCACCATATTCTCTTTTAATATACACATATTACAGTTTATAATATTGTTTATTCAGATTATGTTTATTGAAATTTACTAACATATAATTGAAGTAATACAGCAAGTGTCCAATAATAATCTAGCATAAAATAAATGTTCTTGAGTAGGTGTGTTTCTGTGTTTCTGTTTTCAAATATACACTTTGTTTTTAATGATTTCCTACAGTTTTTTTGTGTTCCTATTGTTCTGTATTAATTATATTCTTTTTCGGTCATGTAAATAGCAATTAAAACATTTAACTAATATTCTGAAAAACAAAGTTTATTGTAAAGTAAGTTCATGTATAATTTAAAAAAAAAACAAGCTTTTTTATCTCAATTGTTTAGGGATAACTGTTTTAAAATTCAGTTACAAGATTTGACCCATTTGAAAAATATATATGTATTGTAAATTTTTTTCTATATTCTATGTATGTTGATATCAAGGTTAATATCTTATATTTCAGAAATCAGGGAAAGTTCAGAAAATTTTTTACCCACCCAGTTCGGTTGAACCAGCAGTGACCATTTCATCAGTGAACGAAAGTGTAACAAATATATCCGACCAAAAAAACATAACAGTTCCAATATTTTTGAATCATACTACTTATTTAACTAAAAGTAACGAATCTGAGTTGGCCAACTCTGATTCTAAATTATCAGGTACTGAAGAAAACGATCAAGATGACCAATATTTTGATCCTGATACTAACGAGGATTATGATAAACTCGCGGCTAAACATAACATTTCACAAGTAAAAACGGTAAGTGTGTTATTTCTTTTGCAATTGAATAGATACATATGATATGTATAAATTTAATTGCACTTGATTGATCAACATTTTAGTAACAGTGCTTTTTTACAGGACTCTCACATTTACTATAACAGTAGTCTTCAAAATGATCCCAAGGTTGGACAGCATTATTGGGTAGATATGACCAACCGCAGCGATGTTAAGATCAATGAACTTCTGTCAAAGTCACACAGAAGAGCTGCTGTAAGTATTAAAATTGTTCTTTGTCTTTGTGTAGTTATATAATTAATTTTGTAGACTGTCAAATTGTCATTTGAATTTCCATTTTATGGACATTTGATAAAAAATGTTACCATAGCTACTGGAGGTTTCTTGTACACCGGTGACTATGTACATTCTTGGTTAGCCGCCACTCAATATATTGCACCTTTAATGGCAAATTTTGATACAAGTTTATCCAATAACAGTTTCATTAAATACGTTGATAATGGTACTGCTTTTACTGTGGAATGGGAGAAAGTAACTTTGCAGGAAAAACCAAGCGATGAAGAATTCACATTTCAAGTTACCCTTCACAAAAATGGTGATATAATATTTGTATACAAAAATGTGCCATTGTATATTAAAAATATTCAAGATGTAAATCATCCTGTAAAAGTTGGTTTATCGGATGCCTATATTATGGATCGTACAGTATTCTGTAAGTAAAAATTATGTATTGAACAACATAAGCTGTTGGAAAGAAAATGACATGTTACTTATCACTACATCGGATGCAAAGATAATGAGCTCTCAGTTTTAATTAGTCACCAAAATGTAGAATTTTAGGTTGAACCTTTCAGAATTTTATTCAATGTATCCTTTTTACATAGTTTTCCACCTAAATTAAAATTTCAGAAACCATTCATTTATCAGAAACCACTGCGTATTTTTCTATGAAATTCTGATATATGAAGATATCTGTTGTTTATAAGTGGTACTTTTAACATTTTTTTTGAACAAAGTATTTGACAATGTTAGTAAAAATGTGTCACCATAATTAAGTACTCAGTTATTGCAAATGAAACAAAAAATTCTTTTTGCAATGTAAACTTCAAAGCAAACAAAACCTTTTGTAAAAAAAGTTTCACAAGAATTCAGCAGGTAATCACAACCCATTAAAAGTAAACCAGCGGGATGTAGAGTAGCCGGAGGAATGAGCATGGAGAACAGGCCAGAGCAAGCTTTTTCATTTGATACTAATTTTTAAACCGTCACTTTCTTCTTCTTCTTCTAGTGGTTGGTCCTAATAAGTCCCATAGCACTGCAGCCTAATTAGGCCTATTGTGCGTCCCACTACTAGTCCTATTCATCAAGTAGATTTGTCCTTTTTACAAAGTCCAAAAGCTTCCTTGCTGACACTTCTCTCAGTTCCTTGGGTTCCAAATAGGGTCTCCCAAGGAGCGCCATTCTGCTACATGCAAATCCCGGGCACTCGCCCAGGATATGCAGAGAAGTTTCATCCGCCGATTCACATCCTCGGCAGACCGGACTGTCTACAAGCTTTAGCTTATGTAGATGTTTCCTAAAGTGACAGTGTCCCGTTATGAGTCCTGTCACTCTCCTGAGCCGGATTCTTTTCAAGCTCAGTAGATCATTCGCTCTTTCCTTCGAAGGATACTCCATGAGCTCCTTAGAATGGCTATGTCCTGGCTTTGAAGTCCTGGTATGTCCTGTGTTCCGTCTTTGTCCATTTGCCCAGAGCCCACCTGACCACACTGGGAGATGTGCCACAGAAGGGCTCCGGGCCAATGAACTCTGTCTCAGATCCCTTCCTAGCAAGTTCATCCGCTTTCTCATTTCCACAAATGCCTTTGTGCCCTGGCATCCAACACAGTCTGACTGTATTGTTGGTGGCCAGTTCACTCAGCATTTGTAAACAATCCCACACCAGTTTTGAACTTACCTTGTGTGCGGCTAAAGCTTTAATTGCAGCTTGACTATCAGAGAATATATATATGAGTTTACGTCTATAACCTCTATGTACATTCTCTGCCAGACACACCATTATCGCGAAGATTTCTGCTTGGAATACGGTAGGGAACTCCCCCAGACTGTAGCTTGCACTCCATCTGGGTCTGAGTCCATATATTCCTGCACCCTTCCCTCTGGTCATTTTGGAGCCATCTGTAAACCATACTAGGCTCCACTTTTCCAGGGTATTAAACCGTCACTTTAAAAAGATATATATGATAAGAATAAAGGGTTGTAAAGTACATTTTATGAAAGTGAAGAAAGCAAATTTTGGTAAACCAGAAACATCTTCCCTTAATTGCTCATTAGTTGGAAATCTTTTGTTAACATGAAAATCAAAAATGTTCCTTCTTCCTTCATATAATTCCTTGAAAATAATCGTTAAAGTTATCATTTTCCTCCCACTTTTTGGTTTCATTGACTCTATGCTATCTAAATCTCGTTCGTCTTTTAGTTACATTTTGCGGTAGACTTCTGTTAACATGTCCCTTATTCTTTTCAAAACGTGCATGACCGGTCAGGCCAGGTAATTCTTTTGCGTAGACTAAATAAATTACATGCATCTCCTCTCTCAACTTCGAGTGGAAGGGGTCGGACATGACATATCATCGAGGCTCCGACTCGGACTCTCGTAATTAGTTGGCTGTGGGAGCGCACATGCCCCGTTGAATTTTTTGAGAACCGACCGAATACCTAAAGCACTTTGCTGTTTGTTAAGTTTTATTTTTATTATTATTATTCAACTCAAACTTTTGGTAAGAAGTAGACGGAATTGTTGGCTACAAACCCGTCTTGTGGGCTATTGCAGCTCGGGATTGATTGTGTTGAGTTAAAGATATTATATTCTGTTTAGTGGACTGTATTTTTACTATTTTGATTACAATAATGATTATGATAAATTTGTTATGACATCTATCAACATTATTTTTTTTTTTACAACTTTTCTCAACTACCAAATAAAAACCTACTGTGATGCGTAATGTTTAAAATGCATAATGAACGCTTGGTGCAACAGGAATATTACAAAATAAAAATGGTGTACAGTGTCAAACAAAAAATTAATATTATTGCAGAAAGTGCAGAGGAAGTCATTGGTTGATTTATATTTTCATACCCCGACGAAACAGTCCCCACTGCTAGAACTTTTTAAATATTTTTCATAAGTTTGAGGAGAGTGGATATGTTAATCGGTGTACGAAATGTATCAATCAGGAACCTCGTCAAATTCCTGAAGCAAGGAGAGAAAAGGAGGTTAATGTCTGTGCTTTTGTGGAAGTAAGTGAGCCGTGTTCTTCCTCCCAAATTTCCGAAGAACTTGGCATTCCAAGTCGTACAGTTCGTCGCATCTTAAAAAAGAATGGTTAAAAAGCCTATAAAATGCAAACTTCTCAAGAAATTATTCCTGGTGATCAAATAAGGCGTATGGAGTTTTGTGAATCCATTAGGGAAAAAGTAGATGAAAATAATGAATTTGCTAAGCAGATTTTATTTACAGACGAATCATCTTTTTCCCTACTTGGCCGTCATAATCCTTCAGTGGTCCAATATTGGTCCTGGGAAAACAACCATTTAAGTATACCATTAAGAACGCAGTACCCTCAAAAGGTAAATGTCTGGGCTGGCATTTTAGGCGGTAATATTGTGAGTCCATTTTTTATTGATGGTAACTTAAATAGTGTTGTACCAGCTGTACGAAACTTGGATGTAAATTTTGAGGAAATTTGGTTTCGACAAGACGGATGTCCTGCACACAATGCAAGGCCAGTTCAAGATTATTTGGAACAAACTTTTCCAGAAAGGCTTATTTCCACAAGAGGTATCATACCTTAGCCTTCTCGATCTCCAGATCTGACACCCTGCAACTTCTTTTTATGGGGTCATTTAACGCAACTTCTCTACAAACATCGATACGAAAGAGCCGCAAATTTTCTTTTAGAATAAGTTACTCCTGAAAATTTTGTAAAATGTTCGTCAAGAATTTTACGACATGTTAGGGTATTGTGAAGCTCAAGCAGATGGTTTGTTTGAACACCTTATTAGTTAATAATAAGCTTTTATTTAATAAGCATTTGAAAATAATTCATTATTTTGCGTAAGAATTACCACTCATTTTATTTTAGAATGCCGTTCTAGTTTTTACTAAAGGTTATAAATAATTTGTAATAAAGTTGGAATGCTTTAGTATGGTCTCAAAACCTCTTATCATTGTTGTAAAAAAATATTGTACAAACAGGGTAATTACTGTATGTATGGCAACATTGCTGTCAATTCCAGGCCGTGGCTTATATTCTTTATGCCATCGCAATAAATCAAAAACATAATTATTTTCCAGTATTCTATCTTCCGTATGTACATATTTTAGACATACGTTGTTCCCAAATTCCTAATGCAAGACAGAGACAATAAACCAAAAGTCAAGGAGAGCTTAGAACCACAGGCTTTGCACACTTCTTATGGTATTTTTTTATTCCCTTATATCGATGGCATGAAGTTGTTATACAAATGATATGGGGGCGGAGTCAGAATTATTAGGGGAGATTGGTGAAATAGTTATATAATTTACCAACTTTGTATCCGAAATAAAAATATGACCAGATATACAGGTCTGGTCATCACTTTTAACACATTGTAATTGATTACAAGTTGAATTGTGTTGAAAAATTTTTTGTTTGCTTTGGAGTTTAAGTTAGTGATCATTTTTTGGTTTTATCTTCAATAATAACTGACTACATGGTAACACATTTTTGCTAATATTGCTTTATTCGAAAAAATGTAAAAACTATCACATACACTCCGTTCGATAATTGTTGAGATAGAATTTCAAGAAGACCCCTGCGTCACTTTCTTGGAACTTACCGCGTTCAACATCTGAAGTAGAAAGACATTGGCGGAAAATTTCAAGGCACGTCTGTGCCGTGGTAAATTATTACAGTAAGTTCTGATAACAGAACTTTATTTGCTTACAGTGAACAATTTTTAGAACGCTTCAACCTAAAATTCTCAAATTTTGGCGACTAATTGAGAACAGACATAAAGTGACTGAACTTCTTTCAAATTTTTTTGCTCCCTCAGTTTTTGAAATAAACAGTCAAATTTTTGCATTTGATAATAAGTACATGGTAATCTATTATATTTTGACTATAGGGTTATCTACATTGATATTATTGATCAATGTCAGCAAACAATTAAACATTACATTACAGAAATATGGTCCAAACTTACAATTTTTTAAATGCAATACCTTATTTATTTTTATATATTCTGTTAGAACACTTTATCAGGATTACAGTGATATAAAGCTAATGAGTCTATCTCTAAAAGCTGTTTTACATTGACAATTTATTGATAAATTAATTCATGAAGTCGCTTCATCAAGAAATTGGACAAGTGTAATGCACCAAATATGCTGTTAAATAACTTCATGAATTTATTCATCAAGTTCTTGACAAATTAGAACATGTTCTAATTTTCGTCAATTTCTTCGTGAAGTTCAGAAATACCAATCCAACAAATTTCCAGCCTCAGATCGGTAATGAGGTTATGTTATTGGAATATGTAAACAATTGTGTGGTGTCGTTTTTTACTGATTTGTTATTTACAAAAACTAATATTTATATGAGTCAAAACGGTACCGCTGTTGTACCACTACAATTATGAGTGAAAAGGTGACATTTTTTAAATTTATTTGCTTTGATTTGTTGATAGAGCTGATTCATGTGTCAAAGAAATTCACGAAGTCTGTAGCAATGTAAACCAAATCGTTTACAAATAAATTCGTGAATGAGGAAGTTGCATCAAATTTTCTTTTGAACCAATATTTATTTAAAGTGCAGAAAATTAGTATAAAAGCATGTTTCTATATGTAAAATCCCTTTAAAATTAACTATTAATATGTAATTAATTATTAAAATATTGAATATAATTAGGTGAGCGAAAACGGTCCCTAATTGGTCGAGCAATTTGTGACGTCAGGATCCGGTATATGAGTGTTAAGAGCATTGCTGTCATTTAATCTTGTGTTGAATTAGTTTGTGTTCGCATTGAATTCTGAGTAGTTTTGAGTAATTAGTTTTAGTGTATAAATTTAAAGACAAGTTTCGTTAATTTTCATAGAGTCTACGAACATTTTCACAATATCTACCCAGACAGCTTTAATGTGTGGCGGCTTCAGGATCAGAATTACAACACAAGAACGTGAAAAACATAACAATGTCTGAACATAAATATTATAGTGCCCATGTGTAGTTCCACAACACTAACTGCCCCGAACAAACTATTTAATGTACCAAAGGATGAGAAAATGAGGAAGAAATCATGCAAACATATTTTATAGAACATCTATTTTTGACAAATTATCAGATTGCTCTTGGACAAATCCAGCTTTTGTAGCCATAGAATGTACAATTTTTAAAATAATTAACAATATTGTGTTAAGTAAAAGTAAATAATATAAAATCTATCCGGCACACGTAGTTTGCATAAACACAAATGAGTAATAGTGAGACAGACTACAGAACACAACTCTACACGACTGTTTTAATTTGGACCGATACCGGATCGTGACGTAAGAGTCAGCCGTCTTTGTTTAAGACTGCGTTTTTAGTGCATAGAGAATTATTTTGAATTTATAATTTTTTTTATAGGAAAACTATTAATTAAAAATTTAAAATTTATGTGGCAATTGACTTTTTACGATGAAAGGAATTTAATAAGAAAAGAAACAAAAAATGTGAAACTTCCCCATTAATTCATGAAGATCTTTGTGAATTTATTCATGAATAAATTGTCAATGTAAAACAGCTGTAACAAATAAGTGAAATAAAGGCAAAAAACAAACTCCACACTTGCTTTGTCATGCGTACGAGTATTTGATATTTCGGCAATTTGACGGATGTATGGTTAAAAATATTTGGTGTATTTGACTATAGTAAATCAATACAAATCTCATTTGCATTGTTCATGTACGAATGAATATTCAACATTCTGGAAATTTTTTCATATGTTTTATGAAAAATTTGTATTCCTTCACAAATATTTGTTACATTTAGCCAAATATGAATCCCATCTTGAATCTTTAAATCAGCATGCAGCAAAGAACCAAGTAACTGAATTGCTGGTTTCAGAAACAATCTTTGTCAACTTTTTACAGATCAGTTGAGTTTAACTTGGGAGATATGTTCTAAAAACATAGATTCATTGATTGAGCACGTAAACTACCTTCTTTCAAAGTGCTATATAGATAAAATAGACTGAAATATTAAGGTGATTTCAGAAACTACCTTAGTTTGTGACAGATGGTTTTATGTTCGAGGTTGAAACCTGCTGTCATTATGGAAGGCTTTGCAGTAATATAAAAATTAAAGTTTTTATTAGGTTGATAAAGGGCTGCAATTTCCTTTTCGCAAAATCACTCAAACGAAGGATATTTTTATAAAATGTAAAGCTATATTTTGAATTTGTACATTTTAAATAGCGGTTTTGTTAGGATGTCAGCTAACTATTTTGCTGTTGGTATAAATTCGAGCTATTAATTTATCATTAATCTGATCAAAAGAAAAATTACATTTTATATCGATATGCTTTAATCTTTTGTGACCAATAGGATCTTTTGCTATGCTTTACAACCATTATTATACAGTAGTGAAATATTTAATACTTGGTCAGTCTAGGGACTTTAATAAAAATGAAGTGGTTTCTTTCATTTAATTTTTTGTCAATTTGAGAATACTTTTTTTTTAATTTAATTTTGTTGTTCCAAATATGTTTCTATTACATGGTTTTATAATAAAATTGTATACAACTTATTTATGCCATGTTTAAATTTAAAGTTCGCATGAAAAGTCTTAAGGTGGCCATATCCCTGGCCGAGAAATAGTCAAATTTCTGGCGTTTTTAGGTACTGAAATCTTGAAAACTAAAACGTGCACAACAAAAGTAAGCACAAAAATAAAATCCTTGGTGTTCTGTTTATTCATTGTTACTATTTAAATTTGCTCAAATAAAATAATAACTAAGAAAAAAGCGTTTGTAAAACATGCGTTTCCTGTTATCCTAACCCCACATTTTAAGAATTATTTTCACGTACTTATAAATAAAAGTAAACAATTTTATATGTAGGACTAAGCAAGTAAATGTTATAAGAATATTTACATGTAGAGTTATATATAAAAAAGTTGGTATTTTCGTAGATTTCAGTACCTAAAACCTTGATGGTTTGATCATTTTTTGCGCCTGTTTATTTGTTTTATTGCGGCGTCTTTGAAAATAGCCAGATGGTATGACATAACATTTCTATTATTTGTTAAGCTTTATATTATTCAGTTATTAAATGTTTGAAATTATTCGTCTTTGTGGAAAACACTATTTAAAGAATATGGGGCCCTTAAGGCCAGTTCTCTCCCTTTATCACTGAACTTAATTCTGTTAAATCAGCTATTTAATTATTTGGATTATTTCATGTATTTGGATTTACTGATAGCTCTATTGGCAAATAATCAGCTTTTAGATGACAGACAGTGTGGACAGACTGCTCAAGCAAATATGAATATTCACCAACGAGTATTTGTGGAATATTTGCCTACCTAATTGTATGGCACAAATGACAGGATCTAAAGAATTGCTTAACTCCGCAATAATTTCTCTAAAGATTTTAGGTGACATTCATGCATAAATATTATTTAAAAAAATTATAAGTTTGGGTCGTATTTCTGTAATATGATATTCAACTTTTTTAAATGTTTAAGCGTCATTAAAAAATTCAGAAAAACAACCAACGTTTGTAGTTATTATTTCTTGAAGAAGTAAAATTGAGATAACTCTTATAGTTAAAGTATAAAAGATCGCTATGTGCATTTTTTATATCAAGGAAAGCTTTCATCTTTTCCTTTCAGCTATTTTTTATATTACTTTTTTTAGTTGTACGCAGGAAAACAATATATGAATACCACCGTGTTGATTTCAAAAAGGAAGATATTAGGAATTGGACTGTCATTTATTTGACACTTCTTCCTACTTGTCTTGATAGCACTGACTGTACCACATGTTTAAGTAGGCGAATAACTTTTCCAGTAAGTTGTTTCTTTTTATTAGATGTTACTTCGTCAACAAAACAACTTTTAACATTTTAACTTTAACATTAGCCCAGTCATTATAGACATGAAAGAACCTGTTTCGGGAAAAAAAATACTATTAGAAGTTTCTCTGCGGAATATTGTTCAGAAAAAGAAGATAGCGGCGATGCGTTCTATTACTTGGTCTAGCGAACGAGTGGGGAAGGCGAGGCTTAGCATGCGCGCTTAACGATGTAATAAATATTAAAATTTTTTTAGTCATTTTTAAACAGATTAAATTTGAAAAATTAAATTATCAATAAATGCATATGTCAATACAACTATTTAGGTACAAAAAACAACTAATGATCGAAACCCTACAACGCCTGTGAGCTTGGGAAAAATGAATTGAAAATAGTATCTTCTTAGATAACAAATTCCGCCAACGCCAAGCTAATGAAGTTTTTGGACTGAAATTTTTACCACTTACTAAGGGTGCAAAAAGCTTAAAAAATCCTGGATTACAAGTGTCTGCGATGAAAATTGCATTAATTATTAGCAATTGAAAAAAGCGGACAATTTCGACCATTTTTGAGCTCTTGCACATAAACAAATTATCGTAATTTAATCGGACTTGTCTTATTTTACAGATTTATTTAATACCTACCTTTTTTGTATAAACCTTTTTTTCTCTATGAATAACAGTTTTTTACGCCAGTCGAAAAACTACTTTTCCATAATTTTGACCATTGTTTTAACAAAGTTTCCCAACTAGTCTCAAATAGAATTTTTGATATTTTGTTTATAACACGTTTCTGAACAATATTCCGCAGAGAAACTTCTAATAGTATTTTTTCCCGAAAAAAAGCTATAATGATTGGCCTACATGTTCACTTCGATTTTGATTCAGACACTCTTTAAAATTAATCTATTTCTATATATCTATATCTTATTAGTTAAGGGTTGGATTAATTGATAACTCTTATATACAGTGTGTAACTCTGCTTGGGGTCATATTTATACGGATTAGTTACTTTGACTTTTAGAAACAAATAAGTTTGTTTACATAATTTCTTTAACATTTTTTTTTGTTATTTTTCACCCCTCTTTCTGAAAAAGCTAGTTAGTCCATTGAAATGTTAAATTTTTTTGGGCTTAGCATGCAAAAGTCAGAGCATGCAATTTTATTTTTTGGATGTGAAGAGGGGGTTAGTGTAAAGTTAAATCCATGTTTGTGGGGTCGCAACCCTTGAGCGTCGGCCGCCATCTTGTAAAAAGGGCTGCGAATGGTTTTTATACTACTACTTACTATATCGGGCAAACTATTCCTCGCACAGAAAATTTGCAAATACATTTCTTGTTGCAAATTAAATTCTCTACAACTTTAGTAACGTAACTTTTAGTAGTAGAACCAAAAACAACAAAGTTATTAACGAAAATAGATAAAAATTTGGGAGGCCTGCCTTCCGACATCCACACATTGCCCCACAGTTTCCTTTGCATTGGCAGAATATTAACTTTAGAAGCTCAGGCGGTGCTGGAGGTTTTGAACTTTGAATAGGCATCAATATTTGTCCATACTTTTTCCAGACCCAGTCTTGAGGGTCGTTGTAATTCCCGAGCCACGACTGGACCTGATAATAGACTCGGAGGCTGTGCAAGCGGGCTGTGTCTTGTGTTGGAGGAAGTGAAGACAAATTAAATGTATTCTTTGTCACTGACTTGGCGAATCGTTTATATCTAAGACTGTCCAGAGAATCATCTTTATTGCCACCATATAAAGAGATGAAAAAACGTTCGCCAACGGCAGTGAGCAAAGTAGGGTCGACTCTCTCATTGAGGAATAATGCTGTTCCACTAGCTAACTCAGGACGTGTCTCCAGGGTTGCGAGAAATTTGTCACATCTTGAGAAGGCATGGAGAAACAACAGATTATCCGCAATGACTTCTCCGTACATAAAACTTGACGGACAATATAATTGTTCGGCTGTACGTCCTTTCGATGATTTAAAAAAATTATTAATATATTAAAATATTAAAATTTAATATTTGAATGTGTTCTTCCAAATGCCGTGAGCAAGACAAGAATGTCGATATCTACTAAGCTGGGAACATCAGCTATGCGATTAGCAATGCCCGTTGCAACATCGTCGGTACATTTGTTTATGAGGTCCATAATACTTTTTTTATTACCGTCATTACATACATTACAAACCCGCCGTTGTCATCTTTGCTGCCGCTTACTCTGATCCTGAAAAGCTTCCATGCAAATGAAGCAATTGTTCCCAAAATCAAAGCTTGTCTCTGGATCTTCTGAAACTGAAGATGATAAACTGCTGCTGCTGAAACAATGAACGACATTATCCGTTCGACTGTCGCTATAATAATGGTAACATGGTATATGTACAGTGACTTCCGAAACATTTCGTAAAAATTGTTCATTGTCCTCGTCATTTTTTGTTATTGCTCGATCAAGTAAGGTTTTCACTCCTTTCGCCTTCACAGTTCCGATTTTACTTTCCCATAAAGGTTTTTTACAAATAAAACAATCACTCATGATGGAATAACACTGTATGAACGCTTAAAAAAGTCAACATGCTTATCACAAAATTCAAAATAGCTCTACAAAACTCAAAATCTTGTCCACAAAATTCAAAATACTGTCCACAAAACTCAAAATACTTTTCACAATTAAATATGTCATGCACGCACGTGGTAGCACAACTGGAAGAAAACTTTGAAGGATGCCTCCTATGCCTAATCATTCATATTAATGTATACTTACTAGTACTGGAGAATAGTAAAAATTTCGCATAACTGTAAAACCCTAATAAATAAATAAAATTTGAAAAAAGTTTGTAATGGAAATTATTCCTTGAAAACCCCTCTATCAAAATGCTCTCATGTATTTTTTTTTGCAAACTTACCAGAAAAAAGTTATAACGACCAAAACAAAATTTCTTCCCAAATTTTAATCTATTTTCGTTACGTAACTAAAGTTGTAGAGAATTTAATTTGCAACAAGAAATGTATTTACAAATTTTCTGTGCGAGGAATAGTTTGCCCGATACAGTAAGTAGTAGTATAAAAACCATTCGCAGCCCTTTTTACAAGATGGCGGCCGACGCTCAAGGGTTGCGACCCCACAAACATGGATTTAACTTTACACTAACCCCCTCTTGACATCCAAAAAATAAAATTGCGTGCTCTGACTTTTGCAACCCCAAATGTAACTTTTCAATGGATTAAGTGTAGTCTCAAGCAGACCTACCAGCCGCAAAGCATACACATATATGAATGCATTGTTGTCAAATCTCATCTTTCATGATTCAAATATATGTTTCTTCATAATACATACAGGAATTTATCAATGAAGACAATCAAGTAAACTGTGTATCTTTCAAATAATTTTTAAGACACTCGAAGATTTTTTTAATGTTTGGTGTTTTGTCCGCATTGACATAAGAAAACATGGCGACATTAAAAAAATACGTCGCAAACTCATACAAAATCAATTTGGTTTTTTCGAAATCCTTTTCCATTGTCAGTCATCAAAATGCATAGTCAATCAACGTTGTCCCCTCAATTTAACCTCGACAACCTGAACACACATTGTTCTCTCCTTACAATTAAAAAATTACTGTACTTCTATTGTGACATCACTAGAGCATCAGATGTGGGGCCTGGTAAAGGGTGACCATTCTGCTACTTTGCATCTTTCTAAATTATCATTGTTCTTTTTTTTAGTGTATGTGGTGTCCTTCTCTCAATAAATGTTCTACTGGCATAGATCGCAATCGACAAGACTGGTTAGCTCAAGACTGCAACAGAAAACGAATTGAGAATGAAACTATGTGTTCATATATAAACAATACAGATAATGTAGACCATAACTACATTTCACTAGATCCGTTAGACCATTCTTCTACGGCATCTCGGATTTATGCTACAACCATGAACAAACAAGAACAGGTGGGAATTTCTGGAATTTTAGCCATCATCTTTTTGCTTACCATGGTGGCCGGACTGGCATTCTGGATATTTTATGCCTACAGAAATCCACACACAACAAGTGGTCAAATTTTAATAAAGGTAAGTTATTTAAAAATACCTATATCGATATTTACTAAATTATTTAAATAAAGTAATAAAACATATATTTTGATATACAGGTGATTCATTAGTTCATTGTTACAAATAAAGAAAACACCTTGTATAAAATAAATTGGTTTCTAAAAATATATATTCTATATTATTATTTGCTGTCATAGTTTTATTACATTGTAAATTTATCCAATAAAGTAAGAAAAAATGCATTCGGTATGATTCTGAAAAGGAATGTTTTACCTCACCCGCCATATTCACCAGATATTGCTCTATTGGATTACTACTTGTTCTGATCCATAGAACATGGCATGGCTAAGCAATCTTATGAAGATTCCAAAAAATGGATCGATTGGTTGATAGTATCAAAAGTTATTCTGTTGAAGCAGAATCCATATGCTGCCAGAAAGATGGGAAAAAATAGTGGCTAGCGATGGACAATACTTTGAAAAATATAATAATATACACAATTTTACACAATAAAGCCTTGAATTTACAAAAAAAAAAAATAATTCATAGTCGTATTAAATGAAGGAGCACTATTATGGCCAGATAATGTTCAGGACAAAAAATATTTTAATTATTAGGATAAATATACTTTGGTCTAAAGTTAATTTATTTGCAAGTTAGAGGGTGTTTAAGTTGAAATTAAAAAAATATTTTTGCCTGCGTCATGGTTCATCGGTGTAAGGCAATGTCACATGGTATCTTCCTCAAGTGTTGCCAAATTTTCAAAGGCATGTGTGTTCAGTTCGACCGTACCATCCACTTGAATTTTATTGTGTGTTTACATGCCATCAAAAAAATGCAAAAGTTAAAATGTGTCTGATGTGTCAATGAAAATTTTCTCGTGAAACTTATTGTTTGTTAAAAAAAGTATATAATGATGATTGTTATCACGTACCAACTGTGCATTGTTTAACCTGTAAAATTTCTTGTATCTAATAAACAGTTATTTTTTATTCAAGCAAAACATAAACATTTGAAAGTAAATTGTTCTATAGCTTTAATAGTGGCTTCAACAGTGTCATAGGCGGGATTTGGGGGAGCAAGGGGGGGCAGTTGCCCCCGCAATATTATTGCAATTGAGCTAAAAAAAAATTAACTCGGATGAAAACGACCTTTAACTTCAAGGGAGTGCAATTTCAGTAGTTAAACCGCAGATAGACGGGAATTCGCAATCTCTCTGAGTTTTTCTTTCCCGCCTATGAACGGTGTTACTAACAACAGCCATGACCAACAGCCAACAACGGGTAGGTTGGTAATAAACAAATCTCCATAAAAGTAACTAGAATCCCTGCAATTTTGTTGCATGTAATAGAGCATGTTCTAATTCACACAATTCAGTTGCCGCGACAGAATTGCATAGTCTGATAAGAAAAATTTCATGGATTCTATAGCGGCAACCAAATCCCTGCAACAAAATTGCATTGTCTGATAAGGACTTTAGGTATCGAACACGATTTTACTCGTTCGCTTGCTAAACATAAAATTATTTCCATTTATCATAGTACTTCCTTTTTCCAAAATTTTTGTGTTGTTACATTGAATATACTATCGTTTTGCAATGTTTGCAAATCTTCGATTTTTCAGTCTCGCTTTCTTTGCATATAGTCCTGATGTTCTAGGACTCTAACATTTGAAAGTTTAAAGTTTCGCCCACATGATTTTTTTTTACTACATTCATAAGCATATTGTAAATGCAGTCTCTGGATTCTTATATCTCTTATTGCATTTGAGTTTTTGATAAAATTGTCCTTAATGTATTATCGGTTTGGAAAACTGCCCTAATAATATCAATTATTTTAATTTTTGAGATGAACCTTGAATATATAGTATTTTTTCTGCATATATATTTTCTTGTTGTCTTTGAAAATTATTATTATATTTCGATAATGCAATAGTCAGGGGTTAAGCGGGGCTTGAAAAAAATTGCAAAAGATTTTGTATTCTAATAGAAGGTTATACTGTTGTACCTCACACTAAATTTTATAACCGAGTTATTAGTTTTTCAGTACCCTATACTAAAACTTAATTGAATTAGTTGAACAATTTTGTAATAACGTACATTTTATCTTTCTAGTATCGACCAAGTCAATGGAGATGGAGAAGGGGTGAAGCCAGATATACAGCGGCAACAATACACATGTGATGTGATAATAAATTAGTGTCTTAGGAACCATTCCAATTTACATATCATAAAGCAAATAAAGTTTTTAGTACTTTGTAAAATTAGAGCCGTGTGGAAATTTCGTGTTAGTTTCGGAGAGCGTTCCAAGCTGAGTACCAAATTTGTAAGCAGTTATAGCTATTTAATGAATACATCGACGATGGCAGATCATATTGGTGTAACGTATGGAGGAAATGGCCTATATTACCGTTTAATTATGGTGTTCTGTGATAAAATTAAAAAAAAAGGATTTTTCAAAATTTCGTGGAATTAAAATGCTCAATGTCAGGCAATATATTTGTAAATAATTATTTGAGATTTAAATTCATGTAATTGTAAATAAGATGAAACGAAAAATTTGTATTTTGTATGACAGTTTTATTGTATGATAAAGATATATTGTATTTACCTTATTTGTAAGTGTTAAGTCTCTTTTATATATTCTTAAAAACTGTAGGAACTAGTTTAACTTATTTATTTTTTCAGTGTAACAACGTAGCCCTTAGTAGTTGTAAACTCTATTTTCACCTACAGTTATATGTCAATAAATTTTTTTACCAAGATAGTAGCCTTTTTATTCATCGTTCAGTTCTTAAAACCATTTGTACTTGTCTATGAAAAGGGACGTATTTAAGGATGTTCGATACATCTCTTGCGGGGCAGGCGGTGCGGGTGGGAAGCCTATGCTTATACACGGTAGTTTCATTGTAGTACCAACCTTACATAAATTAATTCAAGTGAACTAAATATATACGAATGAAATTTATACAACACATATTAGCTTGCATATATTTTTCGTGTTTAATGCACGGCAATTAACTTTTTATTTGAATAAAAGTGTCTATTTATTCATTAAGAGCTTGTAAAATTATGGATGAAATCTGGCAACATTGTTATGGCGTGGTGATAAAAGTTGGGTCAACTGTCATTACTGTCAACTTTGCGCGTATTCCGTAAACATGAATAAACGTCCAAGGTACAAAGGAAAAGTAATGACTGAAAAGTAATATAAAATGCGTATGAAACAGAATGAGGATTGATGAGAAAAAAGTAAAATGTGCAAACCGAGAATCCATATAACTATCAAGAAGTTCAGTGTATGATAGTGAGTCGTCGACTTGTCAAATTGAAGATTATGACAGAACATCTATACTGTTCGTTTTGCAAAGAGATCCTTTCAATTTTTGTTTCAAATTGCTATTATATTACATTAGATTATGAAAAATTTATTTAATATTAATTATTACTGCATATGTTTTCGACTGGAATAATTTTATAGTCTATAATCGAGCTATTCAAATATAGCGCGTCAATCGAAGCGTTAAATACAGCATACAGTGTTGCCATATTTCCTTTCATTGGATCAGATGTTTGTTCAAATTTGTCAAAACGTTATATATTCATTCCATTATCTCAATAATAACATTGTAAGTGCATATTTTTATTGTTTTAAAATGTTTAGTAATATTTAATTCTTTAATTATAATTTTATTTTCCCGATCCTAACCATTTTTAAGAGCAATATTCACGTTTGATTAAAGTTTTTGCCCCAACTCCCATAAGAGCCTGTGTATAAGAGCATAATTTTTAATATCATTTTTCAAAAAAACTACATTGGCAATCGATCTGATATTTTTACATGAGACAGTTTGCCTATTTATTAACAGATTTCAATTGCTTTGAAAACTTTCTTAAAATTTTTTTTTCGGTATCGAACCTCCTTAAATAATTGGACCATTATATCGGGTGAAATTCAGTATAAAAATATAAACAAATCGCCTATGTATGTAATAAAGTATTACTTTTTTATCATGTTTCATTGAAATTTCTCAAAATAAATTATTAAAATTATACTATAGAATGATGATGTACTGTACCGACATAGTCGAGGAAATAAAGCACTAAATATGGCCTTACCTCCGTAATTTGTTCTGTTGAAGTATCGTAATGCAGTTTTTTGCATTCGATTTATTAGAGCGTTCAAAAAGTTTGTGACCCTATGTGATCAATGAGAAATGAAAATTGCATCGGTGCATAAGAAAAATGCATTTTTAAAGTGCATCTCGAAGTTAAAAAATGAAAATTTGGAAACTTGGAAAATATTGAGGGAAATGAGGTCAATTTTGCTACTTGGGTGTCGCTGAACACGAATATCACGATGGCAACGTTCTCCAAGGTACTCGGTGCCTAGGGTGGCCGGTTTCCACGTCGTCTCCTGGAGTTTTGTGGAAATTCGTTATAAACTTAGCCGAAACTCGTTACCTCGGGGTTTTTGGGGTCGCTCAACACGAATATCACAACTGTAATGGTCTCTGAGATACCAATGTCGTCTTCATAAGCTTTATTGAATAAATTATTGGAAACATTTTTTTTTTAAATTTGGCGCTTAACACTTTCGCTGCGCAATACGTCTGAACGTAGCTACCTCTATTATATATTTTGTGGTAGCTACCGTGGCGTGTCGTATAAGTTTATCGCGTGCAACATATACGTCCGGACCCTAGATAAAACCAATAGATCTCTGTCTCAACAGTAGAATTTTTACGGAAAGTTGCGCCCTCTTACAGTTAGGAAGGAAGTACCAAACGACGCCTGCATCTTATTGGTTACTTATCGGAGATTTTGATTGGATATTAATAAAATGACGTTTATAAAAAAAAATTTAATTATTTCCCTCTTAAAATTCATTAGACGTTTAGTACTTTGAATGTTTCTTTAAATGCACGAAAAAGTTCATAAGGTTTAATTTTATTTATCATTTTAATTTTGAAACAAGTTGAATAGTTCAATAATATTTTGATGTATCATTCAATCAACATGTTCAAAAATGAAAAATAATAATTAAAATTGAACCTAAAGGAAATTTTTCGTACAGTTTAAAAAAAAGATTAAAAACATGAAATCATTAATTAAATAATATTCACTTAAAACGGTAATGAGCATCTTACATTGAATCACTGAATGACTAGATAAATTGATGACAATTTCTAACTTTTATACAAAATAAAATCTATTCAATATTTTTTAATCCGAACATGTTTTTTCACATATTTACTAGCATTGTTGACAAGTTGAACGTTTGACACAATGAAATTCTGGTACGTTATTATTGTTTTCAACCACAATTACTGTTACTCATATTACTACTGATAACACAGATCGACAAAATAAAAAAATTGTGTGTTTTTGAGATGTGACCCTACCTATAAATAGTAAAATTTTCCGCTGCATCAAAAAATGATTAAAAAAATATGCGACTTATGGATTCTCCCCTACATACCCATAATTCCCCCCAAAAATTCGAAAAATCCACTGTCCATTCAATCTACCTATCTAGTAAAATTCACCGAATCCGAAAGTGGTAAAAAAATTGTTTGTACGTAAGGGATCCACCTTACTCATCTGTATAAAACTATATCTGTACACCAGGATAAAAGTGTATTAAGTCCACTTTTTCTGAAAATGGGACTTTTGGAGCAATGTGCTATGTCCACTTTAATATGCAAAACCATTTTAAGTGTCACCTATGATACCAAAGAAAATAGAATACTTATAACAGTATTAAGTCACATCATCTGCCGGGATGAAACAAAACTAAATTAGTGGAACACTTTTTAACTGCGGCATGCTGAAAATTTTAGTATTAAATCCATAATTTTATCTAAGCAGGATTAAATAGATAATATTAAGTCCACTGTACTGATAGTTACGCATGAAAAGTCAGCAAATGAATGTACTATTATAGAAGTGTTTTGTTTTCGGTTGTTTAAAAAAACGTGTTATATTAAAAAAAATACCTATTTTTTAACATTATTTCCTTAATATAATCTATTTAGCAATCGTTTATCAATTTAAATTCATCATAAATATAAGCTAAATTAATATTATTACTAATCATTAGTGCTAAAAAGCCGAAGACCAATAGGAGTGTTTATTATAATTATTAAGTCAGAAAACTTGCTCTTAACTTTCACTAAATCGTACTTTTTATCTTAGTGTTGGACTTGATTTTATACTTCTGTATCATTCAATGTGTATAACTTTAGTACGAAGTCCTTTTACTTTACCTAAAATTATAATAAAATATTAAGTTCAAAAAAAAATTCCTAACTTCAAAAACAACGAAAAAACATACTTAGTGTTTAAAACGTGTTTACTATTTATAAGATGATAGGAAATACTTGTGGTAGAAAAATAATTAGTAGTTCTGTAGTAATAAAAATCATATCGGAAATTAATTAAAATTACACAAAAAATTTTCAATTGGCTTTTCCCAAGAACTACTAAATTGCACTTTTATCCTGACGTACATATATCAGACAACTGCAATTACAAAATGCTTACTGCGTAACCACTTAGGAATGGGAAATAATACTTGTCTTAACTTCCTTAGTTTCACTTTTGCTTTGAAAATGATAATTCACTTCAAGTTTTCGAATATAACATTATATTATTTATTAGTGATTATAAATAAATACACATAAATAAAATAAATATATTTATTAAAATAAGTAAATCCTGTAAACCTAAACTATAATAAAAAGTCAAAATTAACATTATAAATAACCATAAACAGATAACACATTACAAAAGACAAATTATTAGTATTTTATAATTTTTTTGTATGCTTTTTTAATGCCACATTTTTAGCTTTGTGGAAAATAGCAGGCGCATGGGCTGTCAATTTTCGCGTATCCTTTGAATTTAATAAATTGTTTATTTGTTTTATAATATTATACATATTTAATTTCACAAATTTATTAATAATAACTGTGCCGAGGTGGGTATGTTGGTCACATGTTAGGTTCATTTCTTTTAGTACCATCAAAATGCCACTAATAATTTTTTTTTTACGCAGATTCTGCCTTAACCAATATTTTATACCAAGGTAAATTGAACCCAATTGTTTTTGGAAGTCGTTGCTTACATATATCAGGCTTCTTCTGTTAGGTACATATTCTCTTTTCGATGTGAAGCTGTGGCTCTCATCAGGTATGTCTGCAAACATTTTTTGTCTGCATAATGCACAATTTTTTGTATGCGGTTTAATTGTTTTTAAAATAAAACCCAATACATAATTTAGGGCCTGATTTTCTTTAAAAGAAATTCCGGTAACTTCGGGAAAAGTAATTCTTGCTAAAGTAGTATCTTCTTGCACCATCTCCTCACTCTCTTCGAAAGGCTAAAATAAAGTGATATTAACTGAAAACTAAATATTTACATTGAATGTTACCTTCTTCAAGACATTTTTTAGGCTAAGAAACATATCTAGTTTATCCTCAGTGCAACTGCTACCAACCAGGAGCATGCTTGGCAGTCAAATTTTTAATCAAACTTTTATAAAAAGGTCCAAATGCTTCACATGTTGGATTGACATACCTTCCTCCTCGTTGACGCATTTGACCAAAAAAGTTTTCTAAAGGGTCTTGATTGAATTGTCTCGTTTTTAAAAATTCAAAACCAAAACCCTTTAGCAAGTGAAACAGTTTAATAAAGTTTCTGACCGTTCTTGTAAAATTATTTAAACAAGGTGGTCTAAAGCTTTTTCCTTGCATATTAACAA